AATCATAGTATTCATAGTGTTCTCGTGTTTAAATTGACTTTTCGTAGCTATAGTATTTACAAATCTCTGAGTAGAATCGTCTCTTGACAGCTATCAAATTGAATCGATAAAAAACTATAAAACAAAGGGACAAACAACATTAGTCAAATGGTTTTTGTATATTAAATTTGTATATTTTTTGTTGTTAGTATTAGTCGAAACATCCGTTATAATGTCCGTGGAATTTTGTGAACAATGATGCTGATAGAAAAAATGGTACCTCGTAAACTGTAAAACATTTACCTATACATATAATAAAATTGGAGTGTCTGTTTGTAATATCAAAAGAAAAAATTCCAGATTTCGGAAAGATGATGTATTTGCGTTACTAATAACAAAATAACGCATTTAAAAAAATGTTGTCCGTTTGTCTGTCTGTTTGTTTGTTCCGGGTAATTTCCGAAACGGCTGGACCGATTCCGACCGGACTTTCACTGAAGGGTAGCTGACATGACGGACATATTTTAGGTTACTTTTTTATCTTAATATTGCGTGGACAAAGTCGCGGGCAATAGCTAGTTTTGAATATAACGAAAATGAAAATTAAAATCATATAAAATTCTTTGCAAGGTTAACAATTGAATTTTTTATTCAGATAAAACTTAGGGAATATAAAATCTGACTTATTTACGAGAGACTTAAGTTTTGTTAGTTCTATATCGATTTGTATATAATTTAGATTCTATCCAAATATGTAGAAATGCAATAACACATTAAAATTAAAAAGTAAATAATAAGAATTAACTAAAATATTTAATACTAGCTGTTCCCTTGCGACTTCATCCGCATAAAATAGTGAAAATCTTATTTTATTGTTTACATGTGTCAAATTATGAATTGCAAATGTCAAAATGACATGACATGATGACAACCTTGCTTCCTTGATGTTGGCAGCAACTTATGGTCGCTTTCCCACATTAGGATTTTTATCCAAAATATTAACCCATAAGTCTAATGGCGTGAAAATATGAAGCCTAAAGCGTAATGTAAGTGTAGGGCTTTTTATTAAAAGAAGAATTATTCAAAAATATGCTGTGATTGCTGACATCTTAGGCAACAAAGAAGTGTGTGTTTACGCTTTATTTAGATTACACATCTATTTTATTGGAAAAACAGGTTAAAATTTAATTTAAATGATTCCTTAAATGTTACTTGTATTTTTGAAAAATATGTATTTATACTTAGCGATCAATAAATTCATAAGGAACATGTTTGTAAAACCAGTAAGTTGTGGCCTTCATTCAAGTTCAGTGCCGCGATAACTGTCTCAAGATCTAAAGTTCAAAGTCAAACAACAAACATTTGATAAAACCACGTATAATATAATATAAATATTATCAACCAATTAATAAAACTGCAGACTATGATACACTGTTAGGTTTTTACATGTTTTTAAATGAAGTAATAAAAAAGCGGGCCAAAGAAAAATATAATAAGAGAGGACTGTTTATTTGCACAACTAAAAATCGTGTAGAGTGCACCTCCATATAAGCTGATAGGAATCAAATCGAGACTAAATAGTTGTGCGATAGTTTAGTCCAAGGTGTGCGCTCGCTCTAAACCCGACAGCTGACATTTCAAAGATATGAAAATAGATACTAAAAGGAAGACAGGATAACCAATTAATAATTTTTCATGAATAAATATTGTATAATTACATAATACGAGATGTTGCCCGCGACTTCGTACGCGTGGTATTAGAAAACATACAAACTATATAAATTACAAAAAACTACGTATCCCTCGGGAACCGGACATTTCTCGGAGATAAAGCTTATCCCATGTGTACTCCAGACTTTGTTTTACATCTGTGCCAAATTTCAATAAGATATGTTGAACCGTTGCAGAATGACCGAGTAAACATTAAAAAACTAAATTAATGAATCCCACGGGAACCGTAACTATTCCAAGGATAAAAAGTAGCCTATGTGTTCTTAAAGACTAAGCTCTAAACCTGTGCCACATTTCATGGAGATCCGTTCAAACGCTACAAACGCTAACAAACATCCATCCATCTAAACTTTCGCATTTATAATATTAGTAAGAAGTAAGATAACAATTTGTAGTTGATAATTTCCAGGTAGAAAAAGTGAACCACATGATGGGAATCCACGAAGCAAAACGCACAACAAAATTAAGACAAAAAAAGTCTATTTAATCATAAAAATATAAAACCATATTTAAAACTGGTACTAAAATAGAGATGTGACTTGTGTCGTAGATATCGATTATTACAGTTTAAATATTAACTGATTAACTTCTTAGAATAAATTCATATTTATTAATAGAATAGTATATTTGTAGAATTAAACTAAGATTAACTTTAAACTAAATAAAAAATAGTGATTACCGCATTATAGGTGACCTAAAGCAACGCAAAATTTAACGTCAAACGTGCCTATAACATTTTGAATAAAATAAAACTTCATCGATATACGTAATAAAGTAAAATAAATAAAATAATACAATAATTAACATTTAAATTTACACATCTTGTTATGTATCGATGAAGTTAATTCCCATCCCTATAGCATTATCTTTTTCTGTTTATTTATTTTTTTGTGTATATATTTTTATCGAAGCCGAGCATGGCGTTGATAAACATACATTGGCCCGCGGCTTTATCCACTGTATTAATTAAATAAAACAGAACAAACGTGTAATCCTAATGGAGTAGGCAGCGGTGACAATTTAAGCTACGGGAAACCACAATTCATCTAATTTTGTTAAGACAAAGGTAATATAGACAAAATTACATTTGCAATATACCTTTCTTGTCACAGATAATGACTTTTAACCACAGATAATACAAGGCTATAGTACTCAGTTTTATATTCAGTTCTTTGAAATTTAACGTTTATCTTGACATATGTTTTTACTAAAATAGTATTCGTCAAGATTAACGAACCTAATTAAATGAAAATCATGTTTAAAGATTGATGTTAACTCAATAAAGTATCAGTTCATGTAATATAACCATGACGCAGCTAGAGTCATTTTATTTATTTATTTATTTATTTATTGATTATAAGTAAAGTACAATATCGTCTTCTTTTCCTTCAGGTTCTTAAACCTTTTGGTTTGTGAGAACCCTGCACATTCTCGTTGGGTAGTTACATTTTTTTTTTTGCATGCGACAGATACGGCTTACACGTCATGTATAAACTAGGGACTTGAGACATTATCATTTATGAATGCAATAAATGTGATGTATGTTACAAACTTATATATATTTATACAGATATATCTTTATATACATATATATATTTATATACATATATATATTTATATATATACATATATATATATTTACATATTTATATTTATGTCATGATACGCACATATTCATAATAACATATATCTACACGGTTTTTTCAAGGTAATCATAGGTTATGGTGGTAGGTAGGTTATGGATGCAAAAACACCGTTTTACAAGAATTCACGACTCTCATGTAACTATTTTGATTTTAAAAGCTGTTAATCATTGAGACTACAGAAGATTTCAGATGTCATTGGATAATTTTTTTTAAACTTAAAACATTGATAAAAGTTATTGATTATTTTATAAACAGACATAAACACAAAATCGGTTTTTATATAGTGATATCGTGTAGTTTAACCGAACGCCGGCTCTGCAGTCAGTCG